CATAATTTATGACATAACTGTATGAGATGTTTCTCCCACTCGAAAAATATTTATTTCACTTTTCACTCACAATTCACAAAGACCAAGTGTCATTATGATTTAGAAGAACCAATTTAGCTCTATCATACATGATCTAAAACTTGGACATAGGAAACTTGATAATCTGAATCGAGTAAAATTTTCTCTTCTACCTCTTGCCGTACATCTTCTAGTTGCTCCTCTTGCAGTTCTTGTCGTACATCTTCTTGTTGCTCCTCCTATAGTTCTTGCCGTACATCTTCTAGTTGCTACTCCCGTAGTTCTTGCCGAACATCTACTAGCTGCTCCTCCTGCAGTTCTTGTCGTACATCCTCTGGTTTCTCCTCCCGTAGATCTTGCCGCACATCTTCCAGTTGCTCTTCCTGCAGTTCTTGTCGTGCATATTCTTATGAGTTGCTTATGAAACTCAGATTGTTTGTCACCGATAATGAGAGATGTCTTTTCAGTAGGATAGTATTCTGCAATATATGTTTAAGATTACAATAAAATTGCAAATATAAATGAAAATTAAAGCAGCTTTTTACTTCTTGACTATAAATTTATCAAACGAGATAAATGCAAGTTCTCAAAATAAATATTAGAGCCCAACAAATAATTTTTAACATAGTCATAAGCAATTTGGTTTTATGAAATTTATTAAAATAGTGACGTTTCGTCTTGACTCAAGACATCTTCAGACTAATAAGGAAGTTAACAAGAATTATAGATATATATAGAGTTATTTACATAGTTTGAGGTATCAGATTACTCTGGTTGTGTGAGTATGATGTGATGTATTGTTAGGGTGAGGTGTTGAGACTATTTTAATAAATTTCGAAAAACTAAAGTGTTTATGACTATATTCAAAATTATTTGTTGGGCTCTAATATTTATTTTGAGAATCCGTTTCCCGCCTGGCACTTCATTGGCAACAATATTGATAAATGCGAATATATATTTTGACAATACTCGAAAGGATTGCAACATCAACAAATTGATAAAATAGCACTTACTTGGCGTGCTAATTTTCAAGATGAAATTTTCATTGAGACGTTCAGCAAGAACTTTTGTTCTGCTGTATTTTCCTTTAAATTTAATGAAATACTGTCCCTTGGTTGGAAGAAGCTTTTGAAATAAGAGCAGGACATTTGTTTCTTCCTGGAAATTGAAAATGTGGATAAAAATCGTTTAAAACGAATACTTTAGTGTTAGAAAGAGAAAATGATTTTAAAAATCAGCAACTAGTAAATGCCTTAGAAATGACATTGAGTATATTAAGAAAAATGCAATTGGGGAAAAGCTCTTTTAATTGTTCTCACAGCCTAATTGTGCGTCACTCATTAAGAAGTACTACTGAAATTTGTAATGGTATGAGGTATACTTACTTCACATAAAGCTTTTGATGACGTAATATCTTGGATTGTAAACTTTTGCAAATCTGCGATCACAAAAAAAATTAAGAAATGTTTCAAATGACATGCTATGCTTTGTAGCAGCAGTCAAATGTAACATGACATGACAGCTGTAATCTACTGCATATCCTAATGTTTATATTATAATATATGTACTTGAATTTGCTGTGAAATAAAAGCATGAGGAAAATATAATTTACTCACACACCTGACTCATGTTTTTCTGAAGGTGCCTAGTTATTAAAATGAAAATTAATTTTATTTTTTCACTCATAACTTGAGGCATCACTTACAGCTAGAAATAACTAAAATCAAATATATAGCTTATATATAGCAATCTACAATAAAAGTAGTTTATTCAAAGTATCTTTAATTCACTATTCATATCATAAGTTATAGCATAGCTATTCATATAGTTCAGTGCATATAGTTTACATGCATGTAAACAAGCACAAGCTTTGATTTGAATTTTATACCGTGCTGGCTGTGATGCATGGTAAGTACAGTTTCGATTGATGTGAATAATTTTTGCCAATAGCCTGCTTAGAAAATTGGTTTCAGACGTAACTTTCATGCATGAAACACCTGATCAATGACCTGATGTTTCATCAGACGATTGCATCAGTTTATCTATAGCTACGCTGCGCAGGAAATACAGCATTGAAAACGAAAGTTTTTATAGCTTTTAACTCAATATCGTTTACTCATTCCGAATTAAATTAACACACTGGATCAACATAACAATGGAGGAAGTCTATATTGACAAATTGATATCTCAATCGATTTTTACAAATGATTTTTACAGATGCAAATGGAAAATTATATGTTCCATCTAAAACATACCTAGACCCTTTACCAAAAATTCATGAGATTAGAATTTGTTATCTACGTAAATTTCCCTAACAAGGATGAGACCAGGAGGAAAAATTTGTCAAGGTGACTTTTAATAACACATGGTGTTATTTACAAAACAACATATGATGGGACTTATTTCAGTTCAATATTGAATAATGCACTTGTACTTGATTGAGGAGACTACTTCATTACACTAATCATTTACATATCTAATGACTTTATATTTATGTAAACAATTCAAACGATTACAACGCAGTTAATAGCCAAAAGCCTAACAGATTCAACTCAAAATAAAATTTAGTTGTGGAAATATGGTGATTTATACAATACTTAAACTTTTAGGAACAAAAATTACGACTGTCGAAAAACATTTCAGTAAAACAAAAAACAATTGACACTCCGTTTAAAGTAAGCATTTTATTCAAAATAAATAATAGAATAAAACGTTTATGCGGAGTGTTAATTCTTTCGTGTTTTACGGAAACAAATCGGCATATATGAGCAGATCTATGTAAAACGTATATGGTAAAACTGTTTTATACTTGGTTTGAAAGTATCCTTTTAGTTAACACGTTCTATCTAATTTTCTACCTAAAATTCCTTTGTTTTGTTCCAACTGGTTAATTTCTGCGCTGAACTTTCTAATGTGCGACAAACGAACCGTGAGACAACATCATAAAGAATTTGCTGGCAAACAAATAAACGAATGTTTCTGTTGGAAAGTACAAAGCATCCCGCCATACATTTTAAGAGTCTCTTCTTGCTAACATTCCTAACTCACATACACTTTAGATTAAGCGCTTAAAAAGTTGAAATATAAAAAATGCAAATTAATAAACAATTCAAATATTTCCTCACGTAAATAAGTCAAAGTTTATATTGCTCAGTTTACAACTTAATAAGACATATTTACCTTCGATAGACAAAATAGCGCGCCAGAAGTGGACGAATATCAAAAGTCTTTGACTTAGCCAAACAAAAATTAATTGGCGGAAGTCACTTCTTCGTCCAACAAGAAGGGAAAATTTGTCAACGCTTAAATTCACTTAGTCTCTTAATCAAAATTTTAACAAATGTTACAATTCAACTATTTCAACTCAAACGCTAAATGACATTCGTAAAATTTGTCGTTAATACAATATTTATGTACAACTGCATAGCTAGTTCCTTCATATAAACATTACACGTACAATAATATACTTACAGCTATAGTTACCTACTTCTTGCTTTACTAAATAAGTTTATAAATATTGCTAACATACTGCAAGAAACAAGTTACAATGTTGAAACTTTATTCCCAAAAACAAAAACTAAGGGAAAGTCATATCGATATGAGTACACATAAAGGTAGACATAACTAAAGTTAGAGGTAGACACAAACTGACGTAAGAACGTTAAAAAATATCTCACTCATATGAAAGAATGACTAATTAATTGTTGTCTCTTATGAAATAACAACTTTTTGAAATGTTTTTATGTCGTCGTATTTGTCGTTCATGTAGTTCATGGCGTATTTTTGAATTGTCATTCATGTGGTCTTGTTAAAATGTTGATCATGTTGTCTTATCAAAATGTTGTTCATGTTGTCTTATCAAAATGTCGTTCATGTCCTCTTTTTTAAATGTTGTTTGTGTCGTATTTTCGTTCATGTCGTGTTTTTGATTGTCGTTTATTACATCTTTTTGAAATAATGTAAAGTAAAAACATTTTTATAAGTATCACAGAAATGGTTGTGTGAACCCCTAACTATTTACTTAAGATTTTTTATCGAATGTTTTGATAATTACAATAACGAAAGAAACAGAAGCGGAAATAATAGATGACCGAACATGGCTGAGTTTGCAAAATTTAACATTTCCCCCCATATTTTGGAAACAAAATATTTCGATCATTTCAGCAATAATCTATTAATACACAAGGATATTTCAACAACCAAAGTACCAATATCAAGAAACAGAACCAGTTTCATAAATAGGAATCAGAATTAGAGCCTCTCTTGTCAATCTTATAAAAGGCTTTAAAAAGATAAATACACAATATCTCATTATGAAGGCTGCAACTAAAAACTTTCAATGACGATAAACGATTTCTTCTGCTACATTTAGGCTTGCGCAATTCCTCATATAATATAGCATAAACCACATACCCTATAATCTGATGCTTTTCTTCAATTGCAACCAGCCTCCAGGGAACTATATCAAATAATGTGGCTAGCCCACAATGGCTGCATGGTGCCAACAATCGTATTGATAAAACATTCCTTTGCATTTGACCACCAACATGGCGGCCGTGCTGCAAACATGCACACCAAAAATAATTTATTGCTCTGTTTGATTGCCCCATTTCTTCTAAAAGGAAGTTCTTTCTGCAATGCTCAGCTGCAGACATAAAAAACAAATAAACTTCAACGCATTAACTTGACAATAGGATTATTTGATGCCCATCAAGTATTTGCTTTTAAATTATATACGTTAAAAACATCAATATATTTTAACATGAGTCGGGAAATTTGCATATGGTACAATGTCCACTGTGATTCTATATAAGGTTGTGTATTTTGGGTGTCATCGCATAAATTGCAACTAAGGGTCAGATCACATGAGCTGGGTAGACGGAATTCAGGCAAGCGATGAATGATTTTGGCAAATGTCAATAGGAAATTCAATGAAAACTCAAATGGAAACTCAAATGGAAATTCGATAATCATCATCAGACAAATCTTCTCTGGCAATTGCACAATATTCTGGTTTCATAATTGCACAAAACATTTAAAATTACAACAAGAAATTTCGGCCTAATTTGAGAATTACAGCAGGAATGACTCGTAGTACTTAATAAACAGTTTTAATTTTTAAGCTTGGAGTTTTGACTCCTTTCAATACCTCGAAATCATTTCACGCCTCAGTGAAACTCGGTTAGCCGGGATCATGTAAACAGCCCCTAATTTATCAGAAAAGTGCATGTTGCACACCCACGTAGGCAGGTGCCAACATAAACACTGATAAATATTCTTTTGTATCAGATCACCATCAAGCATTGCTAAATTGCAAATCAAGAATAAGTCCAAAGACAACAGACAACCAACTTCTCTCTCTGTCCTCTTTGAACTCATTATAAACAATGTACTTGTCATTGCTATCTTGGATTACATTCATAGAAAGATAATGCTTATGCAATGCACCAAAGCCCAAACAAACTGCTTAGAGCTTTTAATTCAAGTGTATTTAAAGCTAAATCTAAATTCAAAAACAATTCCATCGCATTAAAACTTGGCCGAGGTATCAAAAAATAGTAAAACCAACCAGATAGTAAAACCAACAAAATCAATTTCTACAGATCCACCCCATTAGTAAACTAAAGTCCATAGTTTAACTTAAAACTAAATAACTTAATAAACTAAATAAACCTGATAACTAAATAAACCTAATAACTTTAAATTATTTTCGATTCGATAAAAGCACACTGTACATCATCGTTTATTTGAATTTTTCTTCAATTGGACAAAGTGCCATGATTAACATCTTCTGATTCTATAAAGAATTCACAGTCCTTTAGATCGAGCAGTTGCAGTGCTTTGTCCAATTTCAAGCATAAATAGTATTCCTTGGAATCTTCACAATTACCATTATTGTTATACTTATGACTCTCGCTGCCATTATCATCATCATTGATTTTGCACACGGCATATGCAAATGGCCACCAAACATCTTTAAGATCTTTGAAATAAACCAGAGTTCCCGAGTCATTTTTCTCCAAAAATGAAGCACTACTTTTTACTATGACGGCATTTTTGAAAATTGTTGTTGAATTTTCGTCAATATACGAAAAATTTCGTTCACTGATAAAACCAGTGACGTGATTACTTGTACGAACTTCCACATCACCTTTATTGCTGTTTGCTGTTTTGTAAAGTTCTTCATTTATTTCTTTGAAATTCAAAGCAAGATTTTTCATATCATCTCCACCGAAACGCTTAAAATCCTCTTTCTTTCCGACTTTAATATACATCATATCTGATTCACTGCTAAACTTACTAACAGTGCTGCATGGGAAAGTACCCAGTTGTATTTCGTCATCACAATTGGGTGGCTGATAGAAATATATGTTGTCATCTTTTGTATTTCGGGCGTTTGTTGTATCAGCTATTTTCAAAACCTCATTTCGTAGATCTTGGGTGTCACATGCAACATGGGCACATGTCAATGCATAATAATTTTCACCTTTGCAACAGAACATTGTCAATGCACCGCGACACCTATCGTCTCCATTAATTTCTGTGGGTATATTCAATGAATGATTCTTTGCATAAACATGACCTAGAAATGAAAAATTTTGTGTCTACCATTGGTTACCTCGAAATTATTTTGAAATCCCAATATGTTATATTCGTATATATTTGTCTTACTGTATTATTTTCCATTCAAATCCATTGTGTTTACAGATTGCAATTAACAATCTTCTGCCGCACTGTGAGCTGCAGATGCACGATAGGCGTTTTAGGTACGGTAAAATGTTTTTTCGTTAGTACACGATGAAAACTCCAGTACAAAAATTTATGAGTTAGTACACACTAATTGCAGTTTATATGTATATTAAAATGACTTCTACTCTCTTTTTCAGTTATACATAGCTAAGTGATAACCCAGCCAGCGAAAGTTTAAAGAAAACTTCAATCCAGTGTGAAAAATATGTGAAAAAATTGATCAATCATAAATAAATGATCCGAATATTTTATGATGGCAATAGGAAATTTAAAAAGATGTGCTGAAGCAAACTTCTGTCACAAAAAAAAATGTGTGTTTAAAACTGAAAAAAAACAAGTTCAGTATAAAAAGTTTGATTTGACTATTATACCTGTAAATTGTCTTTTTTTCTCTTCGTCTACAGTATCTAAAAAAAAACTTTACTTTTTAACTAAAATTATATTTCATTTCTAGCGTAATAAATTTCTATGCATGTACACGATGATGATGATGTAAATTAGTTGAAAATTTACATCATCATCCCCTTAGTATAAAACTCGCAAAAATACACTGATAAGGCAAACTATACAACAATACCGCCATACATATAAATACATTTTAAACATTCATGTACACTCTTTATAATTCTAAGTCTACTTCAGTTGTAGCCGTGACAGGAAAACATATATCTGTATAGTAATAAATGACTGGAATGCAGGATCAGAGTAATTAAAGACTCAGAATATTATATTATTCCATGCAGATGAAGTATGACAAATAGAAATATATGACAATCATACAAGTTTGTATTGGTAAATCATTAAAGAATTAATTGACACTAATCGGCTAACTTGGTATTCCCAAGCAGAAGAAAAAGAAATTGCATAGGCTACTACCAATTCCATCCACGGTGTCTTGATCAGCCTGATTAGATAGTTTAACACTTATATCTCTTTCTATTTCATGAACTAAACCTCCTTGTTTACACTCTTGTAATGCCAGGAGCAGTGCTTTTAAATTGGCAAGTTGTCTATTTTTATCAAACCAGGTGTTCAGCACATTTCGTGTGAGGTTGTCTGAGAATTTTTTATGTATGATGCATGAAAAACCTCTTAGGTGCGCAATAAGTCAAAATGGCTTTTACCTGGTTGCAATTTTTCTGCAAGATCTCGACGACCAATACTGCATAAAGCTTTAATCAATTTATTTGAAGTGGCATCTCTTCCATTTTCCTTTTGCCATTTTGAAAGCATTTGACATGCTTTTTCATTCACAGAATGATTATAATCAGCATTTATCCCTTCCAATTCTGATTGACTTATTTCCAACTTTATACCCAGCGGTTTCCAATCATTTACTAGCTCTTTGGCAATGTCCATTACTAAAGAATTCATTTATAATTCCAACAAGTTTTATTCAAACAATCATGAAAATTTAGGTATTTGCTCCCTATGTCAATCTATTAAAGTAAATGTGCCAGGCTAAAAGCAAAGAGTAAAAATCTTTAATTTATAAGTGAAATAAATGAAAAAAGGCTCTGCATTAACTATAATCCTGCAGTTGCAGCTAAAAATGATTAAAAACTCAGGGTCATACCTTGCACGCTTATTTTAATATTATCATCCGAGAGCTTTCCTTTGAAGAGTGCAATTCATTGAACTAAAATACATGGAACGCAGTTGCTACCTGTAATATAAAAGTCTAATAATTTCTTGAAGCCAAATCTTACACCCAGAAACGCAATATTACACCCAGATACGCGGGTGTAATCAATCAATTGTCATCCCGCTAAAGAAACGCAAACACTACACACGCGTGTCTGGGTATAATCTCGCGTGTCTGCGTCTAAGATTTGGCTTCAATTATTTGCTTCAGATAGCGTCCCATGTATTTTAGTTTAATTGGTCTCTGCATGGAGAGTACAATACATCTATTCAAAGCCCACATTCTTTAACTTATTCTACAATGATTTTATGTCCTTAGGTTACGTGGTTCTGTCTCTTTCATTTACTTCACTGTATATTTAGTGAAATATTTGTTTCCACGTTACGTAATCTTGTATATTTACCGGTCGTAATTATATTGTACATTCTTACAGTGGTAGAAATCTAAGATTAAGAATACTACTTTTACTAAATTTAAACTTGTCTTTCACACTGTACCGGATATCTAGACACAGTGTTTATTAAAACCTGCCATTTTCGTAGTCAAATACAACGGCCAACCAAGCTTGCAAAGCATGACTCTGACACTCATTCTTTAAGTAATGACTTGTAATACACAGCGCATCTACGGGTTGTATAATATTGACGATACAATTAAATAATGATGTATTACCTTCAAGTGGCTGTCGGCACTTCTTTTCCGTTCTTTCACGATTGTCTACAACAACATAAAAGCAAGATGAGCTTTATACTTCCATGGGGAATAATTCCACAAACGCTGAAATTTTTTATGATTTATCATTTCTATACAGCTACACACATTCTAAAATCCAAATTCACTCAATGTCCTCCTTGGGAATCATTGAGCTCTCAATGTTTTCCTTCGATTATTATTTAATTTGAAGTTGTTTTTCAGAAGTTATATTGACAAAGAACATATGTTCTATAGCTACTCAACAAATGCACTTAAGGTCAATAACTACCAACAACTCTTCAATGATAAAGTGAAAGGTCCAATCAAAAACTCCATAATAAACCAATTTTTACTCTCGTGTAAGATCGTAGGTGAAAGAAAATGTGCAACAACAGCAAAACAACAAAATGAAACCCGATTGATTAGCCAGAAACAATAACAATTAAAATAACAAAGCTACTATACAGACATGAGTCTTGATACATATATTTAAGTATTCGCATAGCACATAAAACAACGCAAATTAAATATTTTCCAAACTCGAAGACAAAAGGAAGTGCAGTCAACCTCAAGATTTCCCATGTGAGAGCATCAAAATTGGCGTAGCCATTCATTTTTTGGCGTGGTGGGTCATAACTCCGACCGCTGAAAGCGTGCCTTTCGAAGGAGGTCAGAGCATATGCTTCCCCTCCGAAATTTGAATCCCTCAATAGGGATTTTGCATAAATTCTGAATCTTAAAATATGACTGGATCAAGCATTTCTATAAAAGTGGTAAACTAATTTTAAAGCCACCGCCACCATTACTAAGGAACCAACACATAGAAAGATTTTTTGACAAAACTATGGAAAACATAGCAACACATGGCCAAATCATGCTTTCAAATAATGCAGAAGGTGAAAAACAACCTTTGTGGTGATAGTAAAGAGAGTCATAAAGAATAATCGGCCTATAACAACACTCGCCATACAAGTTTCACTCTGAATCACTCGTAAAAAAGGATTGTTATTTTAAAAGAATGATCAATTTGCGATCGTAAATGAAAATATTTTATCATATATTACTTCTGAATTACGATTTCAACAATTCTAGATATTTCCATGCAGTTTTGGGCCATTTTCCTCTGTTTTCCGGACCCACAATAAAGTTACCGATGACAAAAATCGTTGCATTTTTATATTTCATCACATTTCATCATATTTTTAGCTTTTCTATAAAATGATTTATCTCTTAATTTTGCTCATGTAGTTACATGTGGAAAATTCTTGATTATTCTCGTAGAAAATCCACAATATATTTGCTCCTTAATTTCGAAAGTTTGTCTCTTAGTAATGGCGGCGCTCCTTATTTTTTGTCTTTACATTTTGTACTAGATGCTTGATCCAGTCTTATTTCGAGATCAGTGATTCTGAAAGGTATTTGCTACAGGAAAAACAGGGTTTTTAATATTGCGACTTCAAAAGTAATTAGAGCATCATTAAAATAAATTTAGTATCTCAAATAAAAATGTATTTATCACAGCTTGAGGACGACTACAACACTTGGTATTGTCATGCCAAATTCATTCTTGTTGGTGACATATTAAAAAAATGTTCAATTGAGGTTTTGACTGACTAAAACTTAAAACTTTGCAGCATTTTTTTGCTCATAATTACTTGTAATACTTGATTTAATTATAATATTTTCATTTACTTAAGGAAGCACATAGTAACCAATGTAGACATTATTTTCTGCTTTTAGATTTAAAGAAACTAAAAGATTTTGTAAGCTTTTGGAATTAGTGGTAACAAAGGTAATCAACTAATTACTTATTGCTCACCCCTTTCTAATTTCTACCTTAGTTTAGCTTTGCCCCTTCTTCCTTGCCTACGGCACTGCACAACAAATGGAAATGACATAATACCATACAAAGAGTAACAGTGCTCTAAAGTACATAAGTTAACCTTCGTACGAAAAAGAACAAAGCAAATTTACTAAACAAAAAAATGCAATCACAATCCGTTACTAGAACTTACATAAAGAACATCAACTTAGACAGGAACACAAAATTTTCTAATTCTATTCAGTCTATCTATACAAGTATAAAGCACTTTCTATTAGAAAAATATTCAGAATAGACTTTTTAATGTTCTAGATGTTTTCTACAAACCCTTTTTATGATAACGAATAAAGAAAGCAATTTACCTTGTAAATATTCTGCAACATCTTGACGGCCAATTTCATTTAAAACATTCAACAATGTTTTTACTGTTGCATTTCTTCCATTACCTCTCTTCCAGAGTAGAAGCATTTGAAATGCCTTTTCTACCATTCTATTTTGTTCCATATTTACACTGCTCAATTTTTCTTCAGGTACATGTAACATTCTACCAAACTCTTTCCATAGAGAACTCGTTTTGTCAGCAATTTCGAAAAGAAGATCATCCTTTGGAACATCACTCCTTTCTGGAGCATCTTCGCCTTCTAAACATGTATTAAGCAGAGCTCATAAGGACATTAATTATTATAGCATCACTTCCGATTAATTTCAGCAGTTAGTCTTTTTCAATAATTAAATAAAACACTTAAAAAAAGTCATTGTCAAAGTGATCTTTTGATGTTATATACCACAAACGCAGTCAAAAAGCACTGCTCGAGCTTTGTCAAGAACTATCCTCACCAAAGCTTGATAAACTCACTACACTATACATGTCTAACCGTTGCAAAGCTGTTCCCAGCTAGCACATAACGTTATCGCGACGTTATATTTTCGTCATATTGTGGTCAGTTCGAACCTAACCTAAATACTACGACTCTGCAACGTCGTGTCTTGGTTGTTGTTTTGTTAGGTCAAAGACGACCAAAATACAACATAACCTTGCGTTTTGGTTTTATTTTTGGTTTGGTCGAAGACGACCAAAATACGACGTTCAAAGGTCAACGCGTCCAAGTTTAAACGTTGTATCAACGTTATTAAAGTCTATTCAGAAAACGTTGTAAGAAGGGATTTTCACAACGTTCAGATAACGTTATAAAAGAGCCACAAACCAACGTTAAATCACATCGTGGCTTCAAATGTTGAAAACATTTATGAATAATATAAGACCCTTTAACTGTCATAAAAAATCGGATCAATAGCATAATGCACTAAATTCGCTTCAAATGTAGTGATGCTTATCGAAGAAATATTACGCGATATATTTGCCTTAAATAAACATATTAGCACAAAAACGGAGTTTTTCATAGTTTGGAGAGTTCAAGTGCGCAGAATGAAACAAGCCATTCATCATGATATTCCTTTAGTGTGTTTCGGTTGCCTAAAGAAAAAGAAAGATCTGGATTCTTTAAGCATAAGAAAATGAAGAAAAGAAAATTCCCTTCAGCAAAAAAAATGCGAATAGATTATCAGGCTATGCAAGATGTTAAAATAAACGTTGGGAAATGGCTATGAAAGATAGCACTTTGTCTGTCAAGCGAGCAGCAATTGTTCCTTAAACTGTGCCTGCTGATATCACTGCAAATGACCTCCTTAAACAGCAGTGGATTGCGAGGAGCAATTCTTCCTTAAGCTGTGCCTGATGATATCACTGCAAATGACCTCCTTAAACAGCACTGCAGATTTAACAAAAACTTGATAGACGATTACCTTTCCTACAAGCTTATCTATAGTGACTGCAAAGTGGTGAAAACGATTCCAGGATATGAAGAAGCATTTACTCTGAAACGCTTCAAGAAAAAAATTGATAATCCATACAGCAGAGTCAGAGAAAACTTTGAAAACCTTGTTTCAGCACACCTATTTTGGTGGATGATGAAGAGCAAATGGTTCAAAAGTCCACTCAACTTCCCTCAGCTTATAAGGATGCTGCTAGTACATCTACTTCTTCAGCCAAACATCAGCAAATTCAGTGTCCCTTTTGTTTGCAATGTTACTCCATACATGATATAGAAATTAATGCGGACAGCTGTAGTATGTTGTTGTTAGAGGCTGATGAACCATTTTTTGACTCCTCCCAAAATGAAAATGCTCAAAGAAATGACACCCTTGGTGAAAACCTCTGTGCAATGTCAAAAACTGAGAGGAGAAGCACTGGTTGATGAAATTTCCAGAGTTGTTGAGAAGGAACTATCACAAGAAGAACCAAAGCGAATCACAGTTAGGAGAAAGACCATTTGGGAAGATTTCACGTCAGCATTGAAAAGAAAGATAAGTCCTAAGTCTAAATTAATAGTTGTCTTTGCTGGAGAAGCAGCTGTGAATGAAGGAGGTCCTTGTAGAGAGCTATTTTCTGGTAATGAAGCATCTCATTATAATTATAGGCAAAAAAACAAATTAAAATACTGCAAAAATTTAATTTACTAAAGAATCATTCTTTACAACTTAATATAGAAAAAGTTGCTACAAATTAAAACAACCTTATTTGTTACAAATTAGCTCAGTTACTGCATTGCATATACTTTAAGCAGAAATAGAACACATAATTCACGATTTTTTCAATACTTTTCCACAGACTTGTACTACCTAAAAGCCTGATTCAAACCCTAACCTAAATACTAGCTTATTTTGATTGTTGTGTGTACTATTCTATAACTATGCCACACATCATATATTTAATATGAACTATTAAGCAAGACTTAAAACACCAAATCACATTAAGTTGCCAAGTAGTCTTATTGTATGGAACTGAGGTGCTTTTGGTATTTTCCTGACATCATTGACTTCACAGAGCTTGTATCTGTCATCCGAAGAAGATACTTCCTTGATGGAAAGCCTGTAAAATCAACTTTGGCCATAAGTTCTGGAGATTTCATGACCTGTGGTATTGTGATGGGAATTCTATTTTACAAGGTGGGCCTGCTTGCAATCTCATGTCATTCAGCATTGCATCATGGTTCACTGGCAATGCCTTATCACCAACTGAGAACAAAAACCCAAGATATAAAGAAGCTGCTGATAAAGTAAGTGTTTTCTTTTTAAATTCTGCAATTGTACTTGCACAAGTACACAGGGAAATTTTGAACATATTTTTTACGTTAGCTGTGCAATGCCCCTACTGATGATGAAGTGAGAAACATACTTTTAACTGATGCAGTTCTTGATGTCTTGCAAGAGTTGGATTACACTGGTTTGCCACATAAAGAAACAATAACAGCAGTACAAGGCATCATACAGTAAAGCTGTGATAATGATATTACAAGTTTTAGCAGTAATTATTAGATAGGAAATCTATATGTTAAAACTTGCTCATGTTAAATTAGTTTAGTAAATGTCCTTTTATTAACATAGAGGCTTGTGTTTTGAAGTTTATTGTGCATTAAAGACCAGCTGGAAAGTTATTTGCCACAACTCCTGAAGATCCAAAATGGCATTGATAGCAGTAGCCTATTCAAAGTATCAAAAATAATGCACATTTGTGGCTGGAAGTTTTCCAAAGTGGTTTTTTCTTGCTTTATCGGCTGATGTCTTTTTGAAACAGATTGATGTTGTATATAGTGAATTTCGGTTGAGAAAAAACAAAGAAATTGATGAACTCACTATTTTTGTGATCCAGTTGAAGATATCGGGAATGGAAGTACGTACTCACCCACGTATTTATTATGAAATTGACAATGAATAAAAAACGTTGCACAACTGCATGTATTTAATCAATACGTGACTGTGTAGATTGATATATTGCGATTGTATGATTTTTTACGCATTGCAGAATTGAGCATACATGATGTTATAAAATGGCTTACAGGTTCTAACGAGACACCATCACTTGGATTTCCAAAACAGTTAAATATGCAATTTGTACATGGCTGTGCTGAGTGTTGAAAGTGTAGACCAACTGTTTCTAGTTGTGACATCTCCATCAAAATGGCTGTTCACATTGGCAATGTTGAAGCCATGGCAGAACCTCTCTATGTAGCTGTCAAAGATTCATATGGGTTTGCAAATTTATAACTTGTTGGCATTGTTTATCGCACGAAACATTAATTTATCACAAGAAACATGAATACTTCATACATGAATACTTGATTTATATTATAAGACTTATGTTTGTGTTTTATAGTGTAAGTGGGGAACTTACTAATTTATATTTGTAACTCAATAAGTTTATTAAAAAGGGCAAGGGCTTCATTTGATTTATGAGGGCTTTCCATACTCATTTCCTACATGACAGTTAGGAAGTATTCCAAATAAATGTTTTCCTGTTCATCTACTTGGCAGTTTTCATTTCACCAACCTGAGAATGTGCAACAAACACAAGACAATCACTTTTTCCAACATACTCAGGTAATAAGTAGAGAATGTCTGGAACACCAGAGATTGTGTCGAACTGGGAATTCCTTATATAATGGCTGTTCCAATGTTATTTTAATTTGTCAAGGTCATCTTGGATTATTTGAGAAAAGCAAAACCAAAGACATTCCATGTGCAATTCATTCCAGAATTACAACACATTAGATTCCATCATGTGCTTAAAAAAACTAATCCACCACCAAGTTCTGTTCCATCTGAGGAAAGACCACTAGCCTTCAATCCTTTGGTTGGAATGGCTAGAGCCAAGGAAGCCAAAGACAACCATAACTAAAAGGCATGTTGCTGTTGTTGTTTGTTTTGGTATGTCTGCGAATGTGCCAAAAACTAAAGCGTTTTTGCTTCAAAGTAGCATAAAAATGCTCATAAAATTTTTAGCAAACATTAGTTTTGTAAATGTGTCTGGAGGTCAAATTTAGCTTCAAAAAATTATTAGGCTTTTCTGTTACAGTCTTCAATGCATATGCCTCTGTAACCAGCTAATCGTCCAGGACCCTGCATTTCCTCTTCAATAAGTCTTTTCAGCCAATCTTCATCAAACATGCTCCCCCTTCTTGACAAGCATATATCTTTTAGTTTCCTTTTCAATCTTCTCAGATGAATAGTTATACCTTGTTGACTAAGCATATCGACGATGACCGGGTAAGGATAGCCACGATGAAACATTTCGGCAATCGTATCGTTCAGATAACAGCCAACAGGTTTACCGCAGTTGTGACATTATTTTGCATCTTCTATAGAAGTTGATACTTTGGACAGGGACTGCCTAAGTTTTTTATGGGTTGATGGTGTAAACAATGACAGGGTGAAACCTGTAGAATACCGATTTTGTAGAGTAGTATTTGGGGTTAACTGCTCTCCATTTTTGTTGAATGCCACACTGCATTATCATTTGGACTCATTCATAGAGATAGACAAGGAATTTGTTAAAAAACTCAGAGATAGCTTTTATGTCGATGATCTACTGTCCGGTGAACAATCCAAAAAGAAAGCAATGAGGTTGTAAGAATCAGCAAGTGAGCGATTGGCTGCGGGAGGATTTAGGCTTAGGAAGTGGCTAAGTAGTGATGAGAATGTTTTGGAAGAAATAGAAAAGAGATAAAGAATCATTTTAGAGGAAAGAAGGGCAGAATTTAGTAATTCGAAAGGGGTTGATGAGCAAACTTATACCAAGGAATCA